GACAAACAGAGAAAGTTAAATCTTTAGAAAAAAAATAAAAGTAAAAAAATGTCTAAATGGATGCTAGTTGAATTGGCTTGAAAAATAAGATTTTTTTCATTCCCAGCTGGTTCCCAGCAAAAAGTGTAGGCTCAATATTACATGAAAAATGCACATGGGGCATTGGCCTGAAAACAATAGCCTTATTTACCTTCTCACAGCTTATCTACCTAGATGTTTGATAAATAGTACTCGAAAGCATAGAAATTCAAAACTAGTTATGAATAATCTGAAAGAAAACAGGAAGAGAGTATGGACCCACGTGAACCATAAAATCCATTAGCAACCTCATCCTCGAAGACACGTGACATATTATACTATATTGTTCACATAGTCCAATACGGCAAAAGCAACAAACCCTAGCATGACTTTTTCACTCTTATTTTTTTTTTCTTTCCTCCCATTGCAGATCCAAAACATACAAGGCTCCTCGATTCTTGGCGCCGCGGTGACGGGAGCGACGCGTGGCCAGGGCTTTGGAGGCAAGGAGCGCTGCTTCACGCTACTGGTAATCGACGACCAGAACACCGACTGGAGCAAGTACTTCCGGGGACGCAGGTTGCACGTCGATTACGAGATCCGCGTTGAGCAGGCCGAGTTTCGCGAGCTCACGCTCACGGCCAACGAGACCGGCACCACTGTCTCTATGGCAGTGGTGCGCAATGGGTCCAAAGTCATTAGGTGGGTGATGCTTATTCCATTTTCTTATACTTGGATTGACAAGCTTTTTTCTTGAGCTCAGTTGAAGAGCGTTGAGCTTAATATTTGTAATTTGTAATGACTATTAAAAAAAAAAATAAAATAATAATAATAATAATAATACGCACACTAAACAAAAATATACCTCTCGTCAGTAAAAATCACCGTTTTTCTGTAAAGGTTTGATGAAAAAAATTATGGTATATACATGTAACATTTTAATAGTTTTTATGAAATTTTTTTCTTTCTTTTAATTTACATGCATGCTATTCTACGTGTGTATTTAGGTTTTATAAAAATTTATACAACAAATTCTGTACACAACATTTATACACGCTCTTTTATAAAAAACTTGTAATGTACTTCTACGTGGCTAGTTCTTTTCTTAGAAGTAGTACTTGGATCGAGAAAAAAGATGCGTTTACTTTACTACATTATACATTTTAAAACAAAAACTACCGATTTGCATATAGCAAGCGAGTGTTAGAGTTCGTATTTTTTTCCGTAAGACGGTTCCCAATAATTATTTCCAAAAAATTTTACTGGTCACTGGTAGCTATGAAAGAACAAGTGATACCAAAGAAAAAAGAATGGACCTAAAAATAAAAGCATCGTATAGTCTTAGAGTAAAATCGCGCAATTTGCCACAGGTCTTTCAAGCCAGACTTCGTGTTGTTTCGGCAAAACTTGCGGGACGCCAGCGAGGACTACAAGAGCTTGCTTCTCGGCTTCATGTACAGCGGCATACCCAGCGTCAACAATATGCAGGCGGTTTACAACTTTCAGGTAAGCCCCACGTACTTGTGCTCACTAACACGTGAGCTCGTTTTTTGCCCACTTAACACAAAAACCCATCTCTCTCACACCCTACCTCGTGCTCGCAGGATAAGCCCTGGGTCTTTGCTCATCTTATCGGCATCCAGCGTCGGCTTGGCAAGGAGAGCTTCCCGCTGATCGAGCAGACGTACTACCCCAACCATCGCGAAATGGTGAGTCGCGCGATCTCCTCGACCTTTTGTTTTTCTTATCTCCTTATTTTTCTTCTTCTTCTTGACTTGTTTTCTCGTATCGTGATCTTTTATTTTCCTCCTTTTTTGATGTTTCTTTTAGCAGTAACATTTTTTTGGGGCTTTTAACAACTGCTAATTTTCGTTGTTTTTTCGTTAGGACACATTTATTGTTGTAACTTTCTGCAAGTCACACATTAGGAATGAGTTTACTTGCAATAATCAAAAATAAAAATGCAAATCCATAACCATAAATTAAAATTTTTCGATGATCAAGAAAATATTTCTAGTGTGCAATAAGTTTTTAAAATTAAAGTAAACTATTCCTGGAAAANTATATATATATACCTGTTTACTACAATGGAAAAAAAGTTGTAACAGTCTTATTTTTAGTGAGCTATTTCACACAAAAAAAGTATTTACACTGTTGCCCTACACTACGAAAAATTTCATAATATTTCAATACATTTTTTTTGGTTTCTTTTTCACCCTATCGTGTCATGCAGGAAAAATTTCAAATATTTACTTTAAAAACCTTTCAAAGCATAAAAGTGTACATTTCAGTCAGTTCAGTTTGAGTGCAAATACTTTTTTGAAGAACGTAATTAAGAAACACTTATAATATTTTTTACAACCGACTAAATTTTATCGTATTAACTTAAAGTATTGGCATGTTTGTAATGTGCAGTGTATAGGTATATACATGTACGCGTCATTCTTAAGGTAAAGCATAGGGTTTCGGAAAAAAAAAAATTTTAAGTACTAAATTTATCGATACGCTATACAAAACCGCTCACCTTCACGTGCATTTATATTTTATCAGTAGAGTACTTCGCTATTAACTGGCACGACAACGCTTGTTAGCAAGTAGGCGAATGATTTACGACAACGTTGACCTCAATTTTCAATGGTTTATGATAAATTTATGTTTCATTAATTCCCTAAAGTACAAGCTTTGTGTCTCTTCTTATTATTTTGCGTGGAAGTTACTGTAATGAGAACAATTATTGGAAATATGTCGAAGTAAGGCTATCAGTTAAGTAAGAACTTTCACTGATATACATAACATTGTTTTCACAGTTTTTTAACAGAATTCATTGGATTTTATTTAAGACCTTGTTAAAAGAAAAAGTTTAGTTGTTAGTATGTAGGTATGTTAATTATTAAACACTTGTCAACTGTAATATTTAGCTGTGACATTCATTAATAATTAAAGCAGTCAACAATTTTAGTATGGATTTTATTCAATCATAATTTTAGTTTATGTACAACTCAAAGCGTTTACGAAATTTAATACAAGTCTTAATACAAGAATATTATTATACTCATAAGTTTTACACATCCTAAAAATCGTATCGATAAAATATGGACATTTACACCTATCATACGTTGATGTAGATACAATACTCGGTTATTGCACTACGATAAATAATAAATATATTAAAACATCCACGTTAATGTATTAACTACAATCTTAATTTGACACGATCATGGTACAAAATTTTACCCTTACTACAAACCATCAATTGTACATCGTAATTATTATAAATTTATTTCAACGAGATTAAAAAAATACCATTTTTATCAGTTTAATGAAACACGCGTTGTGTGAAACTTAGATCATAAAGTCTTTAGGATTTAGAGTCAATTGAAAAAAGCCTTTCATAAAACCATTAACCACATGTATACATAATACATTCTTACAATCAAGATACATTGTCCTTATTAGTAAAATCGTTTCCAATTAAAGTTGCGAGACAAAGTAAAGGCCTGAGAGTTGTTTTGACATTCATTAATTTTATTGTGCTTACTTTTGAAAATTTTAGCATGATTATCAGTATTTTTACTAAATTAAACTTTTTACATTGCAAGCAACACCGTATTGAATTTCAGGCTAAACTTTTTCAGATAATCAGGTATCGTATTTTTATACATAAACACCGTTCAGACTACATTCGCATCAGGTTCAAAATTATTTGTTCCATAAGAAATTAACGATCGCGATACTTTTTAGCAAAAATATACGAAACACTACAGAACAGTTTTTTTTTTATAATTAATTATCTCAAAAATGATTAAAAATGGCCCACCTCAACGACTCAATACGAAATGCATACAAAATTGTAAAAATTATTGAATTGCAAAGAGATATGAAGTTTTTTTCATAGAAGTACAAGATATCTATTTAAAATAATGCTACTCAATCATGATACTCTTCATTACCGCTAACCCCACAAGTACAACACAACAAAAAAAGCATACATCTACTAGCACAGCTCTATTAACTATAAAGAATGATGAAAAAAAAAAAAAAAAAAAATCAAGAGTTACTCATAAAAAAAAGGGAAGGGACAAGTGAAATGGGATCGCTGAATAGCCTTCTAATGCAGTTGCCGGCGGCCACTTTGGTGCTTGCGGATACAGCGGTCGTAAGGTTTAGAGGGCTTCCAGCTGCACCTGCTATCGATTAGCATGCAAATTCCGTATTTCTCCTGGCACTCCAGCGGTCCGGGTCTGTCTTCCCATAGACACAATTTTCCTCCTCCTCGATTCAGTACTTTACCCTTGTCCTTGAATCTCGTGTATCTGACCTGCAATCATTTGATGCTTACTAGCTTTCTTGGAATTTTGAAGAAAAAAATTATTGTCTCATGAGAAAGATGAATTACACTGGGTGAATAGCTAATTAATGAGAATGTTTCAGTTACGCTCATTAATTTTCAATCACTTTTTCTTGTCAGTGTGTAGAATTTATATTATAATTACTTAAATTCTCCAAAGAATTCTTAATTGAACACTCAACGTGATAATCAACGAATTCTTCAAGTTGAACAAAATTTCGTCACGATTCTTTTCAAATTACTAGTACGCGAGACAGAGCAGTAACTATCATCAGACCATCATACGTAATAATCACCGTAATTTTTTGGTATGATAAATAGACACACTTTTTGTCTAAAAACACGTTCACCTTGTGAAAAATTTTTTGGGTAACAGTCGTTTAAGTCTATTTAAGTACCATTCTTCAGGTTAAAAAAACTTACTTTGCACGCGCAGCTTTTAGCATAGAGCCCCTCGTACCCTCTACGTTGCCGCTGTGTCACCTTCTTCCAGGGCATCACGATGTTACAGAGACTTAGTCTCCATTTTTCATCGTAAATTTGACCACTGACCACGTACTCCTCGCCAGTATGGAGGCTCACACCACACGTTGATTCCAAATTTGACGTGTACAAGTATTCTTTGAACAGATCCTGATAGCTTGAATTGGATACCTGCAAAAAAATTATGAAACAGGATGTAGGCTATGATTTTCACAAGACTTCAGTGGCATGAATGGTTGCGAGGGAGGTTGTTATGAGTTTACGAGTTTAAAAAATAAATAAAAATTAATGAACATAATCATGTATTTAGTCAAAGGAAAAATTATTGGAGATAAAGCAGGAAATATTTTCAGTTAAATAGTTTCAGTTAATAATTCAGTGAGTTTTGGTTTTCATGCTCTACTTGTAAAAAAAAAAAAAAAAAAAAAAAATCATTAACAATAAGTAACACCATTGATTAATGAAAAATATGAGGTTCATGTGAAGGATATATTTATTGAAAAATTAATGTTTTAGAAAAAAGCTATCTATCTCACCTTGAACATCTTTTTCATTTCCACTTTGTAAGCTGTGTCCCTTGAATCTAGCGTATCAGTTTTGTCCATGACTTGAACATGCATGACTGAAATAATGAATTTCAATTTTTTTTTTTCAGAAGTAATAACGTTTTTTATTTACATTCACACAAATGTATAGTTCACCATTCCTAACACCTTTCAAATACTGTACTAGAATTACTGACAGACGATAAAAGTTGAAAAAGATCGTGAGTATTATAAGATGCTTTTATGAATATAGTTATTTTGAGCTTTTTGTACAATCATCACATTAAACAGACTGTGAATAAAATCAGTAACCTTTCGTTTGGTAATCCGATACTCTATTCGAAAAGTCGTTGATTACTTATGTGTAACATATATATTATTAATATTTATGCATTAAATCTCAATAAGAGACCATTAAAAGCTAAAAAAGATCGTAAATCTCTAAAAATTTCGTAAGTAGTAGACTTAGACATGTATCGATGATTATGGTATCTTACCAAAATCAGCTTCGCAGAATTGTGTTTGCGGATGCGTGAGAGCACACGAGCAGCCTTCTGTTGTCTTGGCAGTCAATAACGCCACGAAAAACATGCTGACCAATGCAGGAAGTCCCTTGGGTAACCCCATCTAAAACATAAATCAATTTTATCATAAATTACGAGCTTAAAACGCAAAAATATTCCTATCACTATTTTGGTACAACTCAAATTACTTCATATGGATGTAATAAACTTTTACGAGCTTAATGAAACTTTACTAACGCTTCCGATTCTTAAGTATCAGAAGTAAATAATGCACAATGTTCGATCTGTCTCCACTGTCCAGTCTCTAATAATTCAGTAGGGATATTTCGGTGGTCATTAGTGCACGAGTAGTCGCCCAATAGTCAGTAACCACCTGAACGTCTCCAAAGTATATATACATGTATCCAATGTGCTTATGAAATATTCGTATGCAACGTAGGTACAACCATGTGCCCTTATACACTCGGTCCACTCTCGAATTACTCTTCTTCACCTTATCCCTCTTTTGCAAAGCTCGACTCGTATATCATTGAACAAATAATGTTGAGCGGAAATTCTACCTATAGCTATAGACTCTTATAAGTCGTTTGCAAGCCCAACGACATGAAATTGGATCGATGTGCTTGCCAACACATCCGGCAAATGAAACAATTGTGCGGGCATTGGTGGGAACAAAGAAATGAACAAAAGAGTGAATACGACTTTTCTCTTTTAGTAATGGTTACGTGAAATATTAGTACCTTTTTTCCAATTACCAAAGCCTTAATGAGGACGATAATTGCCCTGAATTTTTTTTGGTACCCCAAATGCAGCAGTATACTTCAGTGATTTTTTTTAGTCGAGTATTCTTGTATACATAAATAATTTGTAATTACTGACGAGATTTTGTCGCACTGATTTTTACTTCGCGCCCAAGTGACGTAGGTACTGTTGTCTAAGTATCCATGGGCGGAGAACACAATAAAATTTCAAAGATTAAGAAAAAAAAAAAAAAAAGTCTAAAGTAGGAAAAAATTGTTTAATACGTAAAAAAAAGCATTACACAAAAAACGAACTTATTTTAAACTGATAAGCATCAAAGTAATTTGTGAAATTAGGTTACTATAACCTTTTCGTCCCTTCCCCTTCGCTATAACTTGTAAAGAAAATCTAACTTCCTGATAAACGAGATTGTGAGGAAAGACACATTCTCAAAGGCCCTAAAAGACGAAATAAACGAAGATATGAAAAAAATCGCCACCGGGGATCATGGCACTCCTCCCACGCACGATGATGCAACGTGCGTGCTCGTGCATTTTTATTTCCATATAAATGTACGGGCACAAAGCCGGTTGCACTTATCTCTCCCTTCTGATCTTTCCTCTTTGAAGCAAAAGGCGCGCTGTGTGAGATCGAAAGCAGGTCTATCGAATGGCATTTTTAACGACACTTATGGTTTTTATCTGTACGTGCGTAATGTCCTTGCCTTGAATTTGTTGAAGTTGATCTTGTCAAGTTATTAATAGGCGGTAAAACATGTTTTGAAACATCTCGATTATCTATAGATAGTATAAATCTCAGGACATGTAATGTTTAAGTTTATTGTTTGCTGCTTTGAACTTGTCGATTAAAGCTTAATTACTATTTTCAGAGAAGTACATTATTATTGTCATGTCATTATTTTTAACTGAATAAATTTAAATGTTTGTCTGTCGTTTCAAGTATACAATGGTTTTTTATGTTTTTTTTTTTAATCCATGCGTCATAGAAGTATTTTTAAATTTATTTATACATGTATTTTTAATTATCAGTGGACAGTAATACATAGGTGATGTCTATGATATCCCAATTTGATTTTTCCAATTAAACTTTTCTGTAAGGAATGTAAAAAAATTACACAAATTATGTTCTTTATTTCTGCTTCTAATACAACAAACATTTTCAAACATCAATTATCAATTTATTTTTAATAAATCCAATTATCCAAACATTAAAAAAAATGAAAATCAACAAATAAATAAAACTAATTGAAACTTTGACTTTGGAAAAATAGCAATAACGATACATTAAGCTCAAATAGGTTGACTTTGACGTCGATCGTTGGATGATCATGAAAAATTAAGCACCGCATAATACGCGCCTAATTATTGCCGAGCACGTGTCTATACACTCATGCAATGTTACGTTGGGAGAAACAGCCCACGTCTATTTTAATCTGCCTCATAATACCTGCTATTCTATGCTAATGCACGGATCACTTGGCCGATGGATTAGTTAAGTAGTGATGAATAAATTAAAAGATTAATTTTGAAAACTGACGTAGACGAATTATAATTATAATTCACACGTAGATTTTAATCTAAAAGTGTGCGTATCGGATGCATAAAGTCGGGAGAATATTGGTTAATTTTTCAATTAATGAACTTCTCTTGTAATATCTTACGACATCCTTTTCAAATGTACTTATGTATACGTATCTGTGTATAATAAGACTGACGTATAGTTCATTCAGAGCTCTGATGTTATCAGACATCAATCAAGATACTCATGTAATTGTGATGCATTCTACTCTATTGTCGTAAGGTTCGTTGTTGTCCTTTGTTAGAAAATTTACGAACATAATACGGTTTAAGTTTATTCCTTGTCATTAATGCTCTCTTATGTGGGAACTATATAACGATTGAATTGTAGATTGAGAGTTACAAGGATCAAAAAAACAACTTGTTTTTTGGTCATTGGAAAAATTATCCTATCTCTATCCAAACTCTAATTTTTTATACATTTAATATAAGATATTTATTATATGAAGGTAAAATATTTTACTTTGTTACAGCAATAATCAAACGAGGTATGAATTAGATAGGTGCATCGATCTTTTTTTTAAATTATCTTTGTATGCAGAATATCATATGTATAAGAATTGTGTACATAAATGTGTCTTAGTGCCAAACCAAAAATGAAACATTCAAAGTATTAGAAAGGACTTGAATGTAGATGTTTTAGAGTTATTAACCAGTTAAACCTTTTGTTCATTAAGATACAAAATTAAAATAATAATCGACATACATCAAAGAAGCTGACTCGTGTATTAATTTGTGTGTATTTTATTTGTTACACAAAAAAGTCTCTGACATGATATAATATTGATTCTCAATTCTCAAAAGTTAAACGTGATATCTCATTTTCAAACTTGCTTTATCTCTTGGTATCCTATGATAAACGATGTCCCGACATAGCCTGCCACGTTAACTCAGCGTATAACAAGCAATACAAGTTAGCGTCACTTGGAAAGTAAAAAAAATGGTGATGAAAGAAAAACTTAATTAAAAGCCCGCAGTATTTCAATCACAAAAAGCAAAAGCGTGTCATGGCCTAAAAATTTTTACGCACCAACATTTCAAACGAGTACACGAGCATATAAACAACCCAAACCTAAAGCACGATATTTTCGTACTCTCAAAATTCTACAAACTACCAGATTCGAGAGCGCGTGCATTGTCGTAAAATTTTACTTTTCAATAATAAAAAAAAGCATCAAAGCGTCTGAAATAACTCGAACTTTTGAACTGGTAACGAATTGTACGTCACATGCATTGGAAAAGAATAACGACAGCTCACCCCTGTCTCTTGTTTAAACGAGAGATGAAAACTAGAAGGGAAAAAGCTGCGTGACTCACCTATGATTTTTCTTTCTATCCCTCGTATGTATGTGTTATACTTTGAAGATTGAGAAACGCATGCGGGCTGTGCCACAAACACACCCACATGGACTGCAGGCGCTAATCTATAACGCAACAATGATGGTGATACATATATATTCCATATCACTGGCTACCTATAATCTCTTCGTTCTCTGGTGCATACGCTCATGCATAAATGCAGATGTGTGTTCTCTTTGATTATCCCGCGGCATTTTGGTCGTGCACCTATAGGTATTCATGCCAGAGCAAATCAATCGTGCTCGGCACGATATGGACGTGATGCTTTGATCGTCTCTAGTTGGAGTGGGGCAAAGCTTGTGCAAACTTTGCACGTGTGTAAACGACTATTCACGAAAAATCGTCTTTTATATGGTCTAAAAATTAAAAAAACTTACGGAGAAGTGAGACGGATTTCACCCAAGAACGAGCCCGAGAAAGTCAATTAGACAAGTTTTTTTCTCCATACATTAAAAATGCCTCACGTAACTCATGTAAATATCTTATAAATCAAGCTCCTAAAAATTAAATGGTTTACTTATGTAAATAGTAATTATTATTCTTCATGGGGCAAACATTTTAATTGTATGATAGTAATATGTCTTTACATTATTAATATGTATGGAGTTAAGTAAGTCATATTTTTTCGTATATAGGTATATGTTGTTTCACTTAACTAATACTATAATGATGTATGGTCAGACATTTCACTGTATTTTTCCTAGTAGTACAACTCATAAGAAAATTTTTGCAGATCCTCTTTCTTCTAGTCTACCATATCTATCTGAAGGATGTTAATCTACCATCTAACTACTAACCCCATGAAAGCTAGCCTTTTTTTATTTAAATAAGTAGGTGCGAAGACAAAATTAATTATCTATGCCAAATCCAAAGAAACTGAAAGACTGTGGCAAAATCTCTCGTATTATTACCATAGTAATATAAATTTGATTTACTCTGATGTACTTACAGAGAGCTTCTTAAGTATAAGCAGAAAAATTAAATTACTAGCCTACGTATACACTCAAGATTCGCTGAATAATAAAAGGAAATAAAGACGATCGTGACGCTTATCAGTCGTGCACTTCGCTATTTCATAATTTATATTCGCTCATCTTATATTGCCTGATCGATTGATAAGATCAATGTTAATATGCGCATAACGAAGTCTTTGAAGTGGATTGTGCAGAATTGGACTACATAGATAAATTTGTAAAACTAAAAATCCTTTATAAAAAAGAAAAAGAAAGAATAGTAACAATACACGCACAGCAAAACTCTCCCTTCGGTACATGATATTCCGAGCACGTTGTGAAACTCCCCAGTAGGTTCAAAGAGGGTACAGACCTACATTCGTACTTTGAACATTGAAGCACGCGCGAGAGTTTAGCACAGCACGTATCATTGGTAAACAGACTATATGCAC